TACAGAGCACAATCTGCCCTACATCTTTTCTGTTTTATATCTATTTCTGTTCTCTTGAAGTCTTGAAGAAAGGGAGGGAAACGACATGGATGGTGCTGCAAATGTGACAAAATGAAATTGCTGAAGGCAGCCACACAGCAACTACATTTATTAAATAAGTATGTAAGCAATAAATACTTTGGGGATTCCTTTACACCAATTTATTGTCTCTGTTGTCTGTATTCCTGCAATGACACTCAAGACTTCCAAAGCTGTTTTTTCAAAAGACAGTTGGACTTTGTTTTTAGCTTTTCATCCAAGAAGTTTCTTCAGTTTTCAACTTCTTGGCTAAGAAGTGAAACATCTTCAAGCAAAAATAAAGTCCAGTTTGTCTTTTGAAAAAGCACTTTTGAGACAACCAAGGATTGAGACAACCTTGGATTACTTATAATCTCTATAGACTCAATGAAGGAATCCTTTTTCTACACAGTACACAATCTGCACCTATATCTTTTCTCTTTTACATCTACTTGAGTTCTGTTGAAGTCTTGACTTTTTGTTCACTTTTTCTCCTTGTCTTTCCTGGCTGGGTGGATTCTTAGAATTGATCTTGTTTCAAGGGGCTGCGCTACCTAAAACCCCCACAGAAATTGACCTCTCAAAGTGATTATGTTCCCTTAGTAGTCTTAAATATAAGGCTTGGTATAGCCGATGATGACAGGATGAGATAATGAAAAACAAATACATGAAGGGAGGCTGTAGAATTACAGGTCATAAGAGTTGATGTAGGGTCTCCTGCTTGGGTGGGAGTGTGTGGACTAGATCAGGGGTCCCCAACCACTGGTCCGCGGACCGGTACCAGTCCGTGGATCATTTGGGACCGGGCCGCTTACTTTGCTTTGGCGCCATCTTGTTCCGACACATCTCACCGACACACGGCTACAGGCTACTCAGGTGAGCGGCAGGAAAAGGGAGCTGGGCAGCCACAGACCAGCCGTCTCTCTGTCTGACGGCCTCGGCCGAATCTCTGCCTCCCAGCGCGCTTGGTCCTCCACCCGCAGGCTTCCCTGGCCCCTTGCCAAGTGGGTTTTCCATCCCAGTCCAGCAAGGCCCTTGCTGCCTTCCCCTCGCCTGGCTGGCTGGGCTCCTTGGGCAACCCGGCTGCCTCGTGCCGAGAAGTGCGCTGCCAAGCAGGGGCCATGCGGCACAGGGCAACACGCCACCGCTCGGCCCTGGCGAGGGAAAGCAGCAGGCACTCCCCGGGCGGCGGCCGTCTCTCCGTCTGACGGCCTCAGCTGAATCTCTGCCTCCCAGCACGCTTGGATCCCACTAGAATGGGTGAAGACAAAATATTTGGGCTGTAGATATTTTGGAAGAAGGGGAATGTGTGGGGATGAGTGGGAAAGTGTAGCTATCTGTTTAACATTTTTAAAGTGAAGAGCAGTGTTTCTCAATTTTAAGAAGTCCGGAATGCTGTCTGGGTAATTTTGGGAGTTGAAGTCCACATAATCTTAAAATTGCTGGAGTTGAAAACACTGGATAGGCAAAGGGTTTCTTTGCACTTACATATGTTTAGTGCAATCCCTACTATATATATATGACAAATCTTTAAAATGTGTGGACTTGGACTTCCTGAATTCCCCACACAGCTTACAATTGTTGAGATTGTGGAAAGCTGAAGACCATATGGGAGATCAAACCCATCCTAAATGTAAAATCTGAATTGCAGATTACTACCTTACAAAACACTTTTGGAGAAAACATATATGTTGCCAAACATATTTTTGTTTAATCATGATCAACTGAATCACGATGACTTTATTGGAGTCTACTCTTGCATTTATACGCATTTTTAGTAATCCTCCAACATTGGTTAATTTTGGTGAGTTGATAGTGTAATAGCAAATAAAATAAAAATAAATAAATAAATAAATAATAAATCCCAACCAGTCCTTGAAAAAGTCTTTCTGCGTGAAACTGGTCCCTGGTACAAAAAAGGTTGGGGACTACTGGACTAGATGACCTATAAGGTCCCTTCCAACTTTGATTATCTGTTATCCGAGTTTATTAGTAAGATTCTAAGACTGTAAGAGTATAAAGAGGTTTTTCTCCAAACTATGTTGGGAAGCTAAAGTAGTATGGAATAATCAACTACTCAAAAAAGGTTATCTTTCTGGAGCTGATCTCACTGCTTTTTCTTCTGGTCAGGAGATAACAAAGGGAAATGAGAAGACTTATTTAGCTAAGACTTAAGAGGAAAGAAAAGAACATGAGTACTATTTTGTGGGAATTAAACAATTCTGCAGGTTGCAATGCTTTCTAAATTTGATAAATTTGTTTTATATAGTGGTTTTTAGGTAAATTAAAAAGGAAGTCAAGGAAGCCATTACTCCTCTGGTTGGAAAAGACAGTGAGATGGCAATGGGCAAAAGGCAGGAAAGGGGGCGGGGGGGAGGGAAATGCAGGTGAAAATAGGCAATGGAAAATCTAGCTGCTCTGAATGAATTCAAATATTTGGGACTAGCATTGTTCAGAATCTCCTTCCATAGATTTATACAATTTCTTCTGTAGGCATTATTTTAGTTTTGTGCTCCAATAAAAGATTTTCCCACACTTCAAGCATTTATACGATCTCTGCCCTGTGAATTTTTTTATGAAATTTAAGGTGTCCTTTCTGAGCAAAGCTCTTTCCACATTCCGTACATTGAAATGGTTTCTCCCCTGTATGAATTCTTTCATGACTAATAAGACCACTTTTCTGAGTAAACCCTTTTCCACACTGGATGCATTTATATGGTCTCTCCCCAGTATGGGTCCTCTTATGACGAATAAGTTCTGAGTTCTGACGAAAGCTTTTTCCACACTCCATGCATTTATGCGGTCTTTCTGCTGTGTGCATTCTTAGGTGGAAAGTAAGGCACCATTTGTCAATAAAGCTCTTTCCACACTCCAGGCATTTATATGGTCTGTCCTCTGTGTCAATCCTTTGATGGCAAGTAATATCACTACTTTCAGTGAATCTCTTTCCAAATTCCATGCAACTATATGTTTTTTCACTT